CTTCTTCCTTTTTTCCTCCCCCTTTCAGCCTTTGTACATCCTATTCTAACAACCCATTAAATGGGCCAGTTGGGAAGGACAAACACCTGTCCTGGAAGCTAGAAGGAGAGCTCTGCTGTAGCACAGGCCCAAGACATGAGACTGAGTCAAGGAGCTGAGATGGCTTTTCACAAGGTGGGGGCAGAGTTTCTCAAGGCTCAGGCATGGGTCCAGTTGACTTCCTGAAATATGATTCAACACAAGGGACACTATTTCAAGGAGCAGCTAAACAATAAGGAGTGCTATACTGAGAAAAAGGCATTTAACACGGTGTATAAAGCAAACATGATCCTTGTCCTAAGAGAATTTCCATGAGAGTTCAGATATGACTCACATAAGACAATAAAAAAACACAAAACATTAAAAAAAATCTACCAAATTGTGGGAAACAGGCTATACATGCTATTAGAGTGAATTTACCAGTGAGAAAAATCACCAGAGTATGTGGGACTTGAAACCCAGTTTTAAGGGAAACAGTTTTGATCACTAAAGGACACAGCATGCAGGGCTATTGGACTGGATTCTGGATCTAACAGACTCAATGAATGCTGCTAGACACACTGTCTAAGCCCAGTATTCCATTTCTAACCTAAACTAGGCAAAAGCTAACTAAACTTCAAAGCCTAGAAGAAGGAGTAAAGACTTCAGTGACATTCAGGAGCCTGAGGCAGGAGGATGGTAAGCTCAAGAATAATCTGAGAAACTTAGCAAGACCCTAAGGGCTGAGGATGTAGCTCAGTGGTAGAACACCCTCTTCTAGGGATTTTAGAGAAGTATGGGAAATTAATTGAGTTTCTGGAGAATTAATAGATAGGCCTAGAAGCAAAGTCTTAAATGTTCAATCGGGCGCTTTCTCTCTAGACTATAATGTTCCAGTGGTTCTGATCCAAACAGGACTTCTCAGTGCTCCACACAAAGCTTCTCACAAAAAAGAAACAAGCCTTGGTCTGGGGTTGTGACTCAGCAGTGGAGCATTCGCCCAGCATGTGATAGGCCCTGAGTTCAATCCTTAGCACCATATAAAAATAAATAAATAAAATAAAGGTTTTGTGTCCAACTACAACTAAAAATAAGTATCAAAGAAAGAAAGAAAAGAAACAAGCCTTGACTCAGAAATCCCACTCTGCCAGATGCAGTGGTGCATGCCTGTAATCCTACTGGCTTAGGAGACTAAGACAAGAGGATCGCTAGTTCAAAGCTAGCCTCAGCAGTGAGGTGCTAAGCAACTCATTGAGACACTCACTGAGACCCTGTCTCTAAATAAAATACAAAATGGGGCTGGAGATATGGCTCAGTGGTTGAGTGTCCCTGAGTTCACTCCCTAGTACTCTGCCTCCCACCCCCCAAAAGAAGCCCCACTCTGGGTTTACTTGCTTTATAGATCCTTGTATAAATGGGTCTCCATACCCAGGAGAGGTTAAAGCATTGAGATCTGAGTTGGTGGATGATACAATACCAAGAGTTTTAAACTATTTTCTAGGAACAACATCTGGTCTGGTCTGTAAACTGTGTTCTCAAAATCCATTCAAAACAGACCAAAATTGCAGGATTCACTGGAATTTGACCTAAGCAGTCTCCATCCTCTCAACCCCATCTTAAAAACATCTCCTTTCACTGGGGAAACTGAAACCCAGAAAATCCATCAGTAGGCAAAGGGGATAGCACATTTAAAATTTTGTTGTACCAATAGAAAGCTGAAGCCCTTGTCTCTTAGGCAATAAACACTAGGACACTGGTCCAGCTAAATAATGCTTCTCCCACATTGCCTCTGAAGGTGTTTGGTACCCTTCAAAGTACTGTAAAGGCTTAAGGATTTCTTCTTCCTCTTTGGTCCCATTTAAGTAGGAGTATGTGTGAATGACCACATGAAAAGCCCAGTCCCACCTTGACCCCCAGCAGCCCTTCCAGAGTTCTTTCAGCACTGGAGGGTCTGTGTTTCTGAGGCCAACTGTCATGCATATGTCGCCTCTGTCTCTCCTCTCAGCTCTGATAACTAAACATGGTGCTTGTACAGCTTGGGAGAGCAGAACAAGCTCCTGGCCTTTGAGGCTCAAGAGTCCAGGTGTGTTGGTCTTTTTCAGCTGTGTAGTCATTATCCTTTCCTTTTTCTTTGTCTTTTTTTTAATTTTATTTTTTAATTCTAATTTTATCAATATGGGGTTCTGTCTTCGGGTTTCATGATCTGAATCCCACTTAATATCCCTTTCTTACTTTCCCTATAACTCTAGCATCTTTCTCCCATCAGTCTACACAATTCCCTGCTTCCTTATGGGCTGGCTTGATATCATACCTCTCCTTGAGGATAGATAAAGAGAGACACTGAATCCTGGGCAGAGTGTCTCTGGGTGGCTAGATGGTGGCAGGTGCAAAGAGGATGTCTACAGACTGATTTTCTGCACCCATCTAGTCACTAAGGTATCTTGTGTATAGGGGCAATGGTAAGAAAATAGCAAGAATACAAGTAACAATAAATGTTGGTGAGGGTGTGGGGGAAAAAGTTCACTCATACATTGCAGGTGGAACTTCAAATTGGTGCAACCACTATGGAAAGTAGTGTGGAGATTCCTTAGAAAACTTGGAATGGAACCACTATCTGACCCAGGTATCCCACTTCTTGGTATACTACAGTGATGCAGCCATATCCATGTTTATAGTGGCTCAATTCACAATAGCTAAGCTTTGGAACCAATCTAGGTAATCTTCAACTGATGAATGGATAAAGAAAATGTGGTATATATACAAAGTGGAATATTATTCAGCCATAAAGAAGAATGAAATTATGGTATTTGCTGGTAAATGAATGGAACTGAAGTCTATCATGCTAAGTGAAATAAGCCAATCCCCCCAAACCAAAGGCCAAATGTTCTCTCTGATAGGTGGCTACTAACACACAATAAGATGGGTGGAAGGAAGAATAGAAGTTCATATGGATTAAACAACGGGGAATGAAGGGAAGGGAATAGGGATGGGGATAGGAAAGACAGTAGAATTAATTGGACATAACTTTCCTATGTTCATATATGAATATACAACCAGTGAACTTCCTCATCACGTACAACTGTAAGAACAGGATCCTAATTAGAAAAAGTTATACTCCATGTGTGTGTGTGTGTGTGTGTGTGTGTATGTATGTATATGTGTGTGTATGTATGTATATGTGTGTGTATGTATGTATATGTGTGTGTATGTATGTATGTATATATGTGTGTGTGTGTGTATATATATATATATATATATATATATATATATATATATATATATATAATATGTCAAAATACACTCTATTGTCACATATACCTAAAAAGAACAGATGAAAAAAAGAAAATACAGCAGTTTGGTGATTAGTTGGTGATCAATATATGACACATTCAGTTCACTTGGACTTAATTTGAATTGATATTTGCAAATATCAGTGATATGCAAAGATTGATGAGAGCTCCTAATTCTTAGGTATAAAGAACCATTGCAGTGATTTTCAACCCTGGCTCCCCCTGAGAATTCCATCAGCTTTATAAACAAATTTTTGTTAAAAAGAAAATAAATAAGAACAATATCCTAGAAATTTGGGGGACATGAGAATCAGTATCACTTTAAAAGCTCCCCAGGTATTTGAATGTGTAGCCACAGGTAAGAAATTCAAGTGGTCACAGGAGGAAAGTTCTGAATAAGGGCTAAATTTGGGCTTTCAGGTGAATGAAAGTCATTGCCGGTTTCTGAGCCAAAGAAAAAATACAAAAATGATGTAATATGCAGAATATGGAATGAAGAAATTATAAAAACAAAGAGGCTTGGTAAAAGCCTATTGTAATAGTCTAGGTAAAAGATAATATAGGCTAGGTACAGTGGCACCAGAAACTCAGAAGGTTGAGGCAGGAGGCAGGAGGACCACAAGTTCTAGGACAACTTGAATAAATTAGTGAGACCATGTCTCAAAATAAAAAATAAGTAGGGCTGGGGTAGTGATTCAGTGGCAGAACACTTGTCTAGCATGTGTAAAGCCCTGGCCTCAATATCCAATACCAGGGGGAAAAAAGTAATATAGGCCTAAACTAAGTGGCAAACTAGAGAGTGGAATACAGGGATGGGTTCCCTAGGAAATATAGGACCAGGCAATTTCAGGACTGTTCAGGGCAAGTTGGAAGAGTCAGGCTGCCTCTGGGTTTCATCAGAGGAGTTGCTCTTCCCCTTGTCCAAATCCACTTGGCTCCCCAATTGGAACTATACCAAAACTGCAGAAGAATTTCTGGTATCTTGGGAGTTAAGAACCCAAGAGGAGAAAAAGAATATAGAAACTTGGTTCTTTGAGGGGAAAGGTTCAAGGACCATGAGCCTAAGCAATAAAAACTGGGCAAAATTCAGGACACAAAATCTAAAATGAAGCAAAATTTTATACATTTTCAGATTCCCTACACCCCATGCATTCTGATATAGACCAAATATTCTCTCCAAGGTGTTTACTCTCCTGTCCTCACATGAGGTGTCACAAATACCACCATTATTTCTAGGCCACCTTAGGACAACACTAGGCTCAGCTCATAGAAAGAAAAATGTAGTATCAAGTACAGCTTCACACACCTTCCGAGATGTTGTCCAAGTTGGAAAGAATAGCCAACACAATAAAATGAGCAGGGTAGGTGGCTAGGGAAGATAACCATTTACTTGGAGTGTACCTGGTATTCCAAACAAAGGCTCCACTATCCCCAGATGAAAGCTTGTGGTACAGAAGGAGGAAGTGAATGGGATGACCCACTTGAGATAGCACCAAAAGAACAGAGATGACTTCATGCTCCTGGAAGATGGCAGTAGGCCGAGAAAAAAACACTGAATAATTAAAAGTGAATTGGGACACACCTTTAGTGTCAGTACCTATTTTCCCCTCCCCTTTCCCAGAACCACTAGATATTTTACTTAGCCTATTTATGTGATGCTTGATCAAACAGATCACTCTAGAACACAACAAAATAAGTTGTTATTTTATTGCAGAGGAAATATATCCCAAAATATTTGTTAAATAACACAATTCCAGACAAAAATCATTCATCAGGGTTTGTGAGTCTCACTGTCCGTTCAGATGTAGTGAGATGTGCCCCACCCCTTGTAATAAGCTCCATTAATATTCCCATAAAAAGGAAAACCCAAAAGGTTTCTAGATGGCTTCCAAATTTCTGCATAGATGCCCTCATTTAGTTCAAAGGTAGATTATAAACAAGTTGGCAGATAAATTATAAGATAGCTTAAAAGAAAAAAAGGTTAACACTTGGTGAATCCAGAAAGAAGGACATATGGGTGCTCCTCATACCATTCTTTTGACTTAATTTTTGAGTTAGTTGCTTTACTGAGATTATGCTCCTTTCCAGATTTGCCTAAAAAATATAATCAATTATTTCTTTTTAAACCAGAAATAAAAAATTAATTCTTCCCCAGGTGTTGCTACCTTCCTATTCTGTCTTAAAAAACTTCCAAAGCTTTCCAGGAAGCTTAAATTAAGGGGCTACAGTACATTGATATAGTTTTATAATTCTCAGAAGGTGTTTGAGCAAATTCTCATCGAAGGTCTGTGACGGTCACTGCTCTGTCCACAACAGTCACATGGGTACAGCTCTGCAACAGGAAAAAAGAAAGGTGAAGTCCTAGAAAATTCTGAAATGTCACTTTTCAAAACCCTTTATTTAAAATACTCATTCAAGGCCATGGTTTCCTAGTCTGGAGACCAGACTACCACTTAAGTGGCGGTTACGATAACAGGTCTGGGAATCAGCACTACTCATAGACTGAATTAAGGTCTGTCCATATATCTTGTTTATTTTTCAAATGTCCATTTGAAGAAAAAACAGTTATTTAAAAACATTAGTAAATTTTTTGGTTATTATGCCAATCAGATAATAAAGTACACCTATTATTACATGGGGGAATACACACTTGTGACATGTGAGTTTTTATAACTGGAAACCTGTACATTGGTCCCTGTTTTTTTTTTCCTGGTGGTGCAGTTTCTATTTCAACATCCCAGAACTTAGATATTTATTATGTTCCAAGGCAGACTGATCTATTTTTTAACAGATTGGTCTGAAAGTTCTTCCTCAAGGAGAATGGGGGAAGGAGGAGAGATGGGAAAAGGATCTGAAATCAAATTCCATGCATATATGATTTTGTTGGGATAAACCCAACTACTATATTTAACTCTCTAATAAAAAAAGAAAAAGCTCTTCCTCATATTCAGTTGAAGACTTGTCATTCCCTGAGGTCTTAGTCTTAGTGCTGGGAGTGGTATAAAGAACTCCAGATCTTCCTGTGGTTTCTCTTCCAAACATCCCCAGTTCCTTTTAGTGACAAGGTTCTGAGTCCCTTTTTCATATTGTCTTTTTTTTTTTTTTTAACTCTGAGCCCAAAAGAAATAGTAATACTCCAGGCCAGTGTGGAATAAAAAACACTATCACATTAGATATGAGGGGCAAATTGAAACAAACTGATTTAAGATCATCATCTAAGCTTGTTATTCACAGGACACAACTTTGGGGGGAAATTAAAACAACTTCTGAGGAAGGATATAAAATCCCTATTATCTAAGCAAAATTCTAGATCAAATATAGTTAATTTAGCTATCTTAGGTTCTTTTTTCCTTTGCATTCAAATCTCTTACCAAAGAATAGGGTTGGCAATTGGTGAAGAACAAAACTAACATTTAATTAGCCAGTACTGTTTTAGATACTTTCTGTACATTACTTCTTTTGTGTATGTGTGGGGATTGAACCCAGGGCTTCATGCCTAATAAATACATGTTCTACTACTAAGCTATACCTCCAGTACCTACTTTATTTAATTCTCTCAATAACCTTATAAAGCATGTTTTATTATTATCCTCACTTTATAGATAAGAAAGATGAGACCCAGGAAGGGTAAGTAGCCTCAAAGACACACAGTCATTAAGTGGCAGAGCTAAGATTCAAATCTGTTTAGATCCCACAGTGCTTCTCATGTCTGTCCTTATTATAGAGATCTGAAAAGATAAGTGACAAAGCAGATCTTCCAGATGGGCCAGACAGGACCATGCACCTTCCTTGCCTGCAGTACAGCTCTAATTTTTTCTAACAGGATACATACACAAAACAGAGGTGGATCCTTGCTGTGGGGATGAAATCCTTTCTGGCGACATGAAGAAATCTCTTCTAGCCCATGGTCAGTTAATTTAAAGAATCCAGTTCTAAAATAAAAAGGGCAGGTTTAGAGGCAAGCAAAGGTGTTCCCCAGCACCCCCACACTACAGGACCAGGCATGCACTCTCACACACAGTAGAACAGAGGTCATTTTAAGACAGGTTCCATAGTATGCTGGCTTACAAGTCTCTTCTCTGGTGAATGAATCATACTTAGGGAATGATTCATCACTGCTACCACACTGGTTTTGCTGGGAGAACTCATAGTAAACAACAGGTTTTGGAATGAAAAAGAAGTAACACTCTGATATAATGAGTTTGATGTTGAACTTCTGTGTGTCTGTGTGGTACCAGGGATGGTACCCAGGGCCTCACACATGCCATGCAAGTGCTCAACCATTGAACTCTATCCGCTTAGCATATATTTGAAATTCTTTAATCTCAACTCACTCAACTCTTGGAATGCCTATCACTTCAAGTCAAACACTCTTAAGTTTCTTGTGGACTTTTTCTTCTTCTTATTTTTTTTTTTGGTACTGGAGATTGAACCCAGGTGTGCTTTATCACTGAGCTATATCCCCAGCCCTTTTCATTTTTTATTTTGAGACAGGATCTCACTAAGTTGCTGAGAGTCAATCCTCCTGCCTCAGCCTCCCAAATTGCTGGGATTATAGGCATGTGCTACTGCATCTGGCTCTTCTGATTTTCTCTTATAAAAGCAACAAAACTGTTGCTTATATATCTTTTAAAACAAGCATGTGTATCATAGGTTTATCAGAATAGACTTTTAGAAAGCAGCCAATTACTGCTACAATCTAGATATTTTATAAAGAAGGAGTCTCAAGTATAAAGACCTTTTGCTGAGTCTTTCTTTGCTACTGCTTCCCTATAACACCCAGAACCAAGTCCTGTGTACTCACTCCTGAAACTTGGGGGAGCAGACAATAGCTATTGACTCTGGCAGCATCATCTGGTAGGAACAGTGAGTGTGTAGGTCGACACTGGAGAGAAAGGCGGTCTGTGTGGGATGGGTCTGAGAAGAGAAAACAAGCCAGAGAACTTTTGGTGAGGATGGGCAGTCATGCCTGGTCCATGAAGAAAGGTATGGCCAAGGCAGGACTTCTCAACAATTGGCCCTAACATCCTTTTCAAGTAAAAAGCTGTTTACAACCATGAGAGGTACACTTGAAGTTCATACAAAGTAAGGACACTTCTTCCAGCCTTGTAACAAATAAATGCAATACAAGTATGTGAAGAGACTCATAATTTATTTTTTGTTATTATTAAAAGATTTCTTATACAATATGGTGACTGCATAGTTCACTTTCTTCCTCTTCTTTTTTTCTTTTTTTTTTTTTCAGAGCTGAGAATTGAACCCAGGGCCATGCATATGCCAGAGAAGTGTTCTGCCACTGGGCTAAATCTCCAACCCCAAACAATTTGATTTTTTTTTTTGTTACAGTGCTGGGAATTGAACCCAGGACCTTACCTAGAGCTAGGCAAACACTCTCCCACTGACCCATATACCTAGGGTGACTACATAGTTAAAAACAATGTATTATATACTATAAAATTGGTAAAGATTTATTTTTCCATTGGGATGGAACCCAGGGGTGCTCTACCATTGGGCTACATCCCAAGCCCTTTTCATTTTGACATAGGATCTCACTAAGTTGTTGAGGGTCTAAGTTGTTGATGCTGCCCTTGATCCTGCGATCTTCCTTTCTTAGTTCCTGAGTAGGTGGAATTGCAGGTGTACTACCACCATGCCCAGCTGCTAAAGAAATATTTTTACATGTTCTTACCATAGAAAAATGATAAAGATGCCTATGTTAATCAGCTTGATTTAACATTCTATATTTAAAATATCATGTTGTACATCGTATTTATAAATATATGATTTTATTTGTTAATAAAAAGAAACATATACTTCTATTACACAGTTTCATTTATTTACTTATTTATCTGTTTATTTATTTATATTTTGGGGGGGGGTACTGGGGATTAAACTCAGGGGCACTTGACCCTGAGCCACATCCCCAGCCCTATTTTGTATTTTTTTTATAGACAAGGTCTCATCGAATTGCTTAGTGCCTCGCTGTTTCTGAGGTTAGCTTTGAACTCATGATCCTCCTGTCTCAGCTTCCTGAGTGCTGGGATTATAGGTATGTGCTGCCATGCCCAGCCTATTATATGGTTTTGGAAAACAAGAAATAAACTGGATGCAGTGGCACACACCTGTAATCCCAGCAGCTGGAGAGGCTGAGGCAGGAGGATTGCAAGTTCAAAGCCAGCCTCAGCAACTTATCGAGGCCCTAAGCAACTCAGCGAGACCCTGTCTCTAAATAAAGTATAAAAAAGGGCTGGGGATGTGGCTCAATGGTTAAGCACCTCTGGGTTTAATCACCAGTACCAATAAAATAAAATAAAATAGCTTATAGAAAAAAGAGAAATAAGCAAAATTTTGAATTTGGAAGAGTTGCCTATAAGTGAGGAATACAGTGAGAGAGGCAAAGGGGATAAAAGTGACTAAGAAAATAGAACAACTATTAGATCTGGTCTGTCTCTGCATAATGATAACTACATAGGTGGGGATTTTTCTTGAGAGCAATTGTGGGGAAAATCCCACTTCAGTGTCATGTATCCTACTGTATCAGAGATGCCCTCATTAGACTGTGCAGAACCACAATTTGGAATTCTTTGGAGGGTCTGATAGATAGAGTGATTTTTACCCAACAGAAAGAAATGCAGTGTTAAGCCCAGGCAAGTACATACACCGCCTTACCTCACAGATATAAACAACATAGGAAATAAGCTAGCACATTTCATTTAATTCACCCATAGGACCTTTGCAGGAAGAGAGGTCTGGAAGAGTAATGCAGAATGGAGTTAATAGTAAGCTGAAGACAGAGACTTGAAACTTTCTCACTTCCTGTTTGAAGAGAGTGAAGGTGTTAAGCAGCCTGAACACTCATGATGGGGTTGGGGGGTGGAGGGGTGGTAGGCAGACAAAAAGAAGGGAAGAAAAGAATGGGAAAAACTTTTCTCTGGACTATTTATAATGGAAACTTTTATCCCACTGGTTCATGAGGTCCAATGGGTTCTGGAATTCCTGGTGGCTGGCCAGCTGTAGGCTGTAAGCTGTGGAGCTTGGGGGAGGGAAGTATCAAAGCAAAGGGCGAATAGGAAATCAATTAGTGGGGTATGGAGAGGGCAGAGGGCAGAGCTCAAAACTTCTATCTGGGATATCATAGGGGAAACATACTGATCTAAACTATTAAAATCTAAAGACCATTGCACAGAGGGAGAATTGAATTCTGAGTTCATAATGGATAAGGCAGAAGTCAATGTTGTGCCATATTCTGATTACACAAGTTCGGACCTCTCTAAAGGAAATCCAGATCTAGGTCCCAGGTTTCCCTGGAGTTGGTGTGGGCAGGCCAGGGGACTGGTGTGGTGAGCCATGTGGGGAGCCCCATTGTGGTCCAAGACACTGGGAAACTGGCTAAGAGACCCGCATCAGGCATGTAGCAGGATTCAGACCCTTACTCTGGATTTAGCAGGTATGGAGTCCAGGAAGGAGATCTCTAACATAGGTGTGGCAGGTGTCAGGGCTGTGGAGTCACATGATATTAATGTATGTGTGTGTGTGAAAGAGCATGGACATTGATATTAGGACACAGAGCTGCATGAGGCCTGCATTGGGGACTCTAGTGCATCAGGAGCTGTATCTTACACATGAGACCAAGAGACAGGCTCACGGTCATAGGCATTGGGGATATGGAGATGAAAGAAGAGACCTCATTGTGGAAATTGCAGGTGAAGAGACTAGCATTGTGGGAGTTGGGGGTGTGGATCCCAGCACATATTGTGTCTCAGACATGGCAGATGGGAAGATGTATTACAGGTGTCCCAGTAACTGCCTCTCTCTGGAATAAAGACAAGAGGGGAGACCACTGCGGCTATCATGAGATGAATGGGGATGACTGAGGCTACCTGTAGTGCAATAATCACAGGCCTAGCAGGACAGAAGACCCATAAAGGCATCTGTGCCTCAGGCTTGAAGACAAGGGAGGAGACTATTTGCTGATATTTCCTGCTCTGACCTCCTGTTTTTGAACCAAACAGGAAGGATTCAAGAACTCTAATGTTGGATTCACCTGGGACCTGAAGAACTGAAGCTTGAAGCTGTTGGTGAAGTCATCTTGGGCATCCACTGACAAGGTAGGTGGGTTCTTCTACAACTGTGAATGGAAGGAGAGTGAATTTCTCCTTTTTATCGTTCAGAAGTGTGAGCATCTCCCTGGACAACTTAGGTTTCAGTTGTTATAGAGACTCATAAGTTCTAACTGACCGTCAAGGCCTATTTGGCTTCTGGTGAGCTCTCTCTAATCATGGAGAATCATTCATTCTGAAACAGAGGGCACATGCTGCCCAATATTTCAACATGATAGAAATCAAGGACTTAATAAGCCACAAGTAAGATGAATGATTCTTCCTGAAAGGTGTTAAAAGGTCACATGTGAATCTGAAGTTCAATGGATAGTCATTCTGAGGTTAAAGCATCACACAAGAAAGATACAGGAGTTAGGAAGCTACTCAGATTCCAGGAGCTAGCTAAATTAGGCAAAGGAGCCTGTGCTGTTTAGGAGAAGATGTTGAAATTTGAGGTAATGAGTTCAAGTAATATTTAAATGTTTATTCACTTTATTTCATTTGTTACCAACTATTTCATGTTTTATTAAGCATATTTCTTGTATATAAAATAGACAACTATATAATGACATGTTCATCTTAGAGGGGGTATGGTATTAGGTAACAAAAATTGGAAAAAGAAAGTATGATTCAAAAAGGACACCAACCTCCACTGACAGAAAATAAGTGGAATCAACTAGTATATTCAAATGTGCTGTGCAAAAACTGAATCTCTTGAAGAGCTTGTCAAAAGCATAGACTCCCACACCCCACCCCTGGAAATATCCATCATGAGAGTGAACACTTTTTGAAAGCTCACTAAATGATTCTTATGTATAGCCTCCTGTTCTTGAACCAGAAGAACCACTCCACAGAAGACCATGATGAGCTCACTAGGGTTGGAGGAGGTCTTTTGGGCAGGGTCCTCAAAGGGCATGGAAGAACTTTGGTGACTACAAGGGGAAAAAAAAGTTTCTATCTGATGATAATATAATTCTTTAGACTGCTAGGGAGCAATAGCCTGTGTCAATACCATTCATTTCCCGGTTAGTGCCCAGGATTCTAAACTGGAAGCAAACTAGGCCTACACAATCAAGCTCCCAAATTTAAAGTTGGGTAGCTTAAAAGATTATAAAGGGACATAAGGACAGAGCAGGGGCTTAATAAATAACTGTAAAACTAAAAAACAAAAATAAAAAACCTTACCTTGGTTCCCTGGTCCCTCTAGTTCTAAGCAAGTTCCCTCAACAATAGCTATGTTCACGGTGTCTACCCTGCTGGGGAGAGAGGAAAGCCTTTTCATGAAACAATGTGACAAAGGAGCAAAATGAACAAGGAGAGTGAATGCCAACGGCAGCCTCAGCACCTGGATGAGAGCAGAGTGGCCACGTGGGAGGGCCAGTAAGGGTTAAGAAGGGCTGAGACAAGAAGAGAAGGAGCTTCTTCATATGGGATCTCCAATAGCTGGAGATCAACATGTGACTATGAAATGTTTTTGACCAGGGAAGCTGTTTTACAGTTGACAAAGTAAAGAAGAAAAAAAATGATCTTTTGCATTCCCCTCTTGAAATTTTAAGATCTGAGCAAACCTTATAGTGTGCTTTTGTATTGTTTTTAATCCTAAACTAGGAAGAAATGGTGCAGAAATATCATGGGAGGTGGGAGGAGCTGAACTACTATCAATTTCATGAAGTCTAAATAGTAATCATCACAAACTTTCCCCCATCTACTCCTGTTTCTAAATCTACCTCTCTCTCCCTCCTGCCCTGCAGTAGACCTAGACTCCAAACCTTATGGAAATCAAATTTTTACCTGCCTAAAAAGTTCCCTTGATTGGCCAAAATATCATTTCAAAAATCTCTCCATATATCCATCTCTCTTCCTTCAAGTCTGTCTTAGAGGAATGGATACTTTCTACCTCACAGGAAGATGAACCTCCCTTTGTACTTCAGATTTGATATTTTCCTATTGTCATAATACCTTGGCTCTCTTGTCCTTTTAACTCTATTCCTTTGGCTCACTGGTCATACATATTCAGATAACTACAATGAGAATTGTAGAATAAATTGTAGAATGTGAATAAACCTTCAGAGAGTAGAGCAAAAGAAGACATAAAAAACACATATAATTCTGTTTACAAAAAGGACAAAACCAGGCAAAGCTAAACTATAATGTTTCAGGATACACATTTAGGTGGTAAATTACAAAGAAAGCAAAGAAGGGGTGATGAGAAAACTCAGGAGAAGGCTCACCTTTTCCAGGGAGGAAGTGTGACTGGGTAGGAGCAGGCTCCTGGCAGCATCCTATTTCCTATCTTAGGTAGTATGGGTACATAGATGTTTACTTTATGATTCATTATAGTGTACATTCAGCTTAGGTACACTTATAAATGTATTATATTTAAAAATATAAAGCTTTTGAAAAAACAAAATCAAAACACATTTAAGCCTTTTCATACTAAACAATCAAGGAAACATTCTCTAAGTCCACTTTTGCCATAAGCCACCATTCCATTTCTCTTCCTCCTCTAGAGCTAAGCTCCTCAGAATGGTCATGTCCATTTCACTATTGCCACAACCTCAATCCCCATGACTTCTTAAACCTTATAGTCTACTCCCACCAAGGTCTAAAATCCACTAAACTGGGTCTTCAACAACCTCACCAAATCCAAAAGGCTGATCCAAATCTTCACCATGCTGGGGCTTTCTAGAGTATGTGGTAGGGTTAGTAGCCTGAAATTTCTTTTTATAATATCCCTCCTCCTGTGGATCTTGTATCCTAACAGGAACCTGACTTTCTCACACATCTCTTTGTCTCATTTTCACTATCAACTAATTTCTCTGCTCCTCTCAGAAGCCTGTGAATCTCTTCTTGCCCTCAATTCTCCTTAACTTCCAAGGCTAGCTCAATGTGGAAGACTTTCAGATCCCTGCTTTGATTTTGCTCCTGAGTACCTGCCTCCAACTACATGATGACTACCTCCAACCATCTGGTGTCTCACAAGTACCTTAATTCAACCTGCTCAGAATTGAAACCCACTTCCAAAAATTAGTCCTCCTTCTGGATCCCCTGTGTCTGTTTATGAGATGATCACTGCCACCCCCATGAGCCAGGATCAAAATCTCTGAGTCATCACTGGCTCTTACTCATTATCCTCTATTACTCATTTCCCAAATCCTCTGAATTCATCTCCTCCTTCCCAAACATACTGCCATCACCCCAGCTCTCATCTTATTAGATTTTATCAACGCACTAACCTCTTAAATGATCTCCCCACCTTAACCTACTTTAAAACTACCTTTATGTTAAGTTTTCTAAAGTATGGTTTTGATCCTATCACTACTCTGCTCAAAAACCTTTAAGAGTTCTCCACTTACTAAAAGCAGAACTACTTTTCCTGTCCACCCAAGATCCTCAAGAACACAGCTCCAATATAGCAGATTAAAGCATACCTACCACCATTTCCTGACATGAACCATAAATCCCAACAAACTGTACCCTTAGTGCTCTAGGAACACAGTCTACCTATTCTTAATGCCGTCCCCTCACATGGAACTCTCTTTGGCCCATCTTGCCAAAATTCTCTTAAATCATACGAGGTAGGATCCCTCCTGCCTCTGAATTCCATGGTGCACTGTTAGTACCTCTCGAGGCCCTTAGCACACTCTACCTCATGTGAAGAGTTGTTCATTGTCTATTTCTATCATCTCTTGTATGGGACTAAAATCATATCTTACATAAATGTGTATTCCTGGGCAGACAGGGGACATGTTTTCTATCCCTCATCTACTACAATGAGGGGGAAGACTACACATAAACAGGTAAGTCAGTATTTACTTCTGTAATTGGATTAAAGGAAGATCAAAGGCACATGGGACTGCCTTGTAGGTCACTATTTCTCTAGTTCTGAATTACAAGTATGTTCAATCTTCTCAAATCCAGAAATATGCCAATTTAATTGTCTATAATTCATGCATGTCACACAATATGAAAAGCAGCTTGGTATGTGAAAGTGAGGGATTGAAAACAATAGAAAGAAAAATTAAGAAATAATCTTTATGCAAGAAATTATATTTTACCTGAAAGTTACAAGAAGTATACCCAAGATATGCAAACACTTGAAAAACTATATTGGAGGCACTTATGGTTTACATGAAGGTACATGGTGCATAATAAAGACTACAGGCTATAAATAAAAAGTTAAAAAATCACTAAGTAGTACTCAAAAATCAATGGTAGACTACAATCAGTCAAGTATACTAAGAACTGTATCCAAAGGAGAGAAAAAGAATAAATAACCTAGATACAATCCATTCAAAGAAAGAAACAAGCAGTGTCTATAACAAAGAGAAGAGGGGAATCCTCAGTGAGCTCAGATTTGCTTACATGAATCCAGCCCAGTGTGATGAGACCCTGCTGATCCTGTATGAGGAAAAGTTCTTCTTCATTCTCCGTGTTGCAATAATCAGACCCAGCACTTTGCTTGGGGATGAGAACGTGGGTAATGGTAAATTCATTCCTCATCTGCCAAAGGAAAAAATAGCTTGTCACAATTCTTGGGCACTCCTGCAACCCCACACATTGGAGAGTCAAACTTCTACACAAGCAAAGGTACTTCCCACCATAGCATGAGTCTCCTTCATGTTCCCTGAATCCCTCACCTCAGTGGTTCACAACCTTGGCTGCTAATGTGCATTTCTGGGGGGCTCTGTGAAGCCAGAGATGCTGAGACCAACCCCAGGTCCCCCTCTGATGCATAGCATGGGTAACTGCCACAGCCCTGTTGAAGTGCACTCGTGGTTCTTGAAAAGCTCCAGGTGGAGTACCATTCTCTTCCTTTGCTCATGTCTAAAGCAATTTCTCTCCACTGTTAAGTCCTTCTCATTAAGACTCAGGTTAAGTTTGTTCCACTTCCTTCATGGATTCATTCAGCAGTTAGTAATGGGTTCTTTAAGCACCTCTGTTCATTGATCTTTCCTCCTCAAAATTCCTAGTGATTGTATGGTACATAGTATCAGAATGCTATTTATCTTTTATTGTATATCTCCCATCTCTCCAGAGTGATTGGACACTTTTTGTGGACATGTACTCTGTGCCTTACATATATTTTATATTCCTAGGGCCTATCAAAAAGTAGGTGCTTAGAACATAGTGATATAGGTAGTGGCTAGATTTTCCTACTAACTTTAGTTAGCTATTTCTAACTATAATACTAATCAGTTCAATTCAAAGGACTCTGAAAAGCAACCAAATACAGAGTCAACAGATCCAAAGTGACTATAGTATATAGTTCATGGTTCCTTTCTTGGAATATTTGATGTAAAGAGACACTGGCCCTGAATATCTTCTCTGAGAGTCATGGGAGGTCAAAGAAAAATAAACAGTCTCAGTTCAAAGAGTTTTTTTTTTTTTTTTTTTACCAGTTTTCCACAGAGAATTCCACATGTTTCTACTCCCCGAGCAGTGTTGGCACTGGCTAACTGGAGAAACTGTGGACACAGCCTCCCAGGCACCACCACATGGCGCAATCCATCGATTGTAGGAACTGTAATTGAGAAGGGAACATGTCTGAGACCATGAAGCTGAATCATTCCAAGCAAACCTCACAGCTGCTAGCATTGGGAGAGCAATGCTAAGTCACTGGAATCCCTGCAACTTTAGACACTGAGTGGGCATCTCACTCTAATGGCATAAAAAAGTGTTGTAAAGTCTCATCTCTACCCTGTGGCCACAGCTCATTAGGAGATGCGATGGTTAATTATAGGTGTCAGCTTGACTGCATTAAGGAATACCTATAGGGTAAAGAATTATTTATGGGTGTGACTTTCATGGGGTTTCTGAAGGAAACTGATGTGTGGTTCTACAGACTGGGGAAGATCTGCCTTCAATATGGGTGAGCATCGTGCAATCAGCTTGGGGCCCAGATAGAAACACAAAAAAGGCAGAAGTAAGGCACTCTTCTTTTCCTGCCCCTGGGAAATAAAAACTGGCTTTCTAGGCTTTGAACTCCAAGACTTGTACCAGTGGCTCTTAGATTCTCATAATTCCCAGACTGAGAAATATGCCATTAGGTTTCCTGATTCTGAGGCTTTTGGATGTTGACTAAGCCACATGACCAGCATTCCAGGGTCTCCATCTTACAAAAAGGCTTTTGTGGGACTTCTCAACCTCCATAGTCATATGAGCCAAGTCCCCTAAGAACTGTGAGACCATGTGATCTCTGTCTAGATTTCAAAATATGTTTCAGATAGCCTGAGGGTCTGGACAGAGACATTACACAGGAGCAGGGTCATCAAAAAGAGTCCTCTGTAGGGCAATGCCTATTAGATTTGTAGGAGTGGAGCAGCTCCTCAAGCACCTAGAACCATAGAGCCATCAGCCCATAACTCCAGTCTGTACAAGATGAGGACAAAAGACCCTAACTCCTATGAGAGCTGCTGGGTGAAATGAATCCAGCAAAAATATAGCAATGAGCTGTCTGAGGTCTTGAGGGGTCCAATCCTTGTCCTAGTGTGTCCAGGATGGATGCAGGACAGGAAATCAAATGAGATTGTTCTACAACTTTTCAACTTAATGTTGTTTTTCCTTGTTTGTATGTGCCCAAGCTGGCCTTGAACGTGGGAATCCTCTCACCTCAGCCTCCCACATAATGGGATTATAGGCATGCACTACCAAGCCTGCTCCAATCACTCCATTCTTCATTTGTTTCTCCCTTGACTGTCCTATACCTGTTCCACTCTTATATTTTGGAAGCATGTAACTTATTCACTTCACGGGCTCAAAGCTGGAAAACGCCATATCTGATTTAGAGAAAACTTTGGACATTTGAGTTGATGCCCTTGATACTTTAGGAAAACAGTAGGCTTTAATTATTCAAGGTAAGATGAAGGTAAACTACTATGTTCAAAAACATTTCTAAGATATTTAGGAATTTTCTGTCAGAATCTAAGAAAAAGATTAAAAAATACCCCCCCCCCATTCAACTGAACATTTTATTTTTTATCTCTCTTTGAACTCATAAGAATATCAAAGTATGATTTTCAAAGAAGCATACAATGATGTATATATTGTCTTGATAATATAATCTGACTTAGGTAGTTATTTACTTCTGAATTTAGTCTTTTAGAAGAAAGTTTAAATGCCAAACCCCACCCTGATGAAATAACAAAAAACTTAAGTCTGATCCCTCTAAAAAGACATGAACAAAGTAGCTCATAAAACTGCTTCAGGATGTCAAGAATGGACCCAGTTCCTGAGCACCATGGAGAAACCCCATGAAAAAGTCAGCAAGTTAAGGTTAGGAAGCAACTTTCATAGCCATATTTTCATATTAAGGAAAAAAGTTAAAAAGTATATTCTGTTTCTGCACATTGAACAGCAAGGCCTGAACTGCCAGAGAGGTGACAACAACAGACCAGGGGATACCATCATTTGGTAGTCTGATGATGACATCTAAGGATGATAATTAAGATCTGGCACAGTCCCTTCCCTTCAATTCAATAAATTCACTTACTAAATGCATACCAAGTAGACACTGTGCTCAGCCTACACAGGGAACACAAATGTGAATTAGACTCAAGCAAGACTCAGGTCCTAACTTTCAGGAAGTGAAAATCTAGTTATTGACAAATGACTACATGATCAGGTAAATGATCTAAATTGTATTAGAGATAAAAAGAGCCCTGGGAGTTTTACAGAGAACAGAATCAATCTGATTGAAGGGAGAGGAACTGGAAAGACTTCAAGAAAAGCAGGAAGGCAGAAACAGAGAGTAGGTAGAAGGCAAATGTTAACAAACCTCTTTAGGAAGGCAGTGCAGGGAATGTCCTGGGAACATGACAGTTCAATTTCCCCAAACTTAGAATATGTAGGAAAGAACAGTAGTGGGAGATAAGCCTGCCAGAAAAATGGGGGTGGATGTCAAAAGGTCAGGGCTCAGAGCCCAGCCCTCCTTCCCTTCTTACATTGTACCTGTAAATGGGTTTTTAGCAAAGCTGACTTCTTTAAATGACTACTTGAAAGTCGATTCTGGCCTTCCACAGATTCCTCTAATGATCAAGACATACTCATCAATTTACCCCATTATTATTTTCTTGATTGCCATTAAGGTGACAGGAGGAAAGACTGACCACTATACACAATATTTATCTTGACTAAACTCTTTAAGAATCAGAAATGCTTTCAGGGCAAGCACAATTCAGTAGCCTGTTTTTTTTTCTTATTTTTTAAAGTTAGTCACTGAATTGCACATGGTACTTATATTTTAAGATTATTTTTTACAAAAAGCTAATGGTAGTTTCTAACTCACTGACCATTTTAAATCCCTTAAAAGCTGAGGGTTTCACTTTCAAGGATAGCACCAGTTTTTCAAAAAACTGACCTGGCTTCAGGTAAACTATATGGTTTCAACAAATGCTTCTTTTACAAGACAGCCAGTGTGACAGAACACAGTATGGCAGTCCTTATTAAAGGAAGTTCTGTTATTAGAGCTTGATAAGTGGGATCACAGAGGCACTCCTAGGATGAATCCCCCAGAATGACACTGGGGTAGCAAAAAATGGAAGAAGACAACAGTAAATAGACTCACTACTTTCAGAGTTGCTCAGTGCTCCAGGTTTCAAGGACCTGTCCACCACTGGTGGCTTAGCTGGCCTTGCGGTTGTGTTACAGTCTGAAGGCTGTGTGGATGACACAGGCAAGGTAGGGAACCCATCTAAGGAGGGCTTCTCCAAGTCAGGCACCAGTGGGCCACCTAGGCCAGGGTCCACCTTTCCAAATTCCTGTACAATTTTCAGTCGCTCTTTTTCTAGCTCCTGGTTCCGGATCATTTCCTCAAAGGCATGGAACTGTTCCTGTTCCAGCTGTTGCTGCTTCTGCTGTGCTATCCTCTGTCTTTCCTTTTCCAATTCTTGCTGGATAGCCATATTCCGGGCAAATTCCTCCGCTTTCTTCTTCTACAAAGGGAGGAAAAGACTTAGGCTAACACTTCACACCTTAGAAGAAACTCTTCTCAGGGAAAGGGAGATTTCCAAAATGTACTTCTGTGCTGATCTGATTTTCCAATACAAGATCTATGCTTCCCTTGGTACCTCTATATTAACGGAATACAGTCCCCACCCCTTTCTACCCAGACACCATATACCTGTTTTCAAATACAGTTAAAGTCCCAATCCTTTCAGTTTTAGGTGTAACCAAATGTGAAACAAACCTCCACATTCATCCTCCCTTAATGACTCTACCTATTTTCTTCTGTACTGAAATTTTGATGTTCCTAATTATCTGTACCCAATAACTTATATCATGTACAGTTCTGTTCTTTAACTGTGCCATGTAAATATCCTAAGTAAGGCTATAAAATAGAATCAAATCCAAACTTATACCTGCTATATCAGGGGTCTCCACTGAATTTCGACCCAAATGAAGTTTTTCTGGTGATCAGTTCCACATAGAGTAACAATTAAAACTAATAAGAAATAATAAGTAAGCCAGGTTCAGTGGCGCATGCCTGTAATCCCAGCAGCTCAGGAAGCTGAGACAGGAGGGTTGCGAGTTCAAAGCCAGCCTCAATAATGGCGAGGTGCTAAGGAACTCAGTGAGACCCTGTCTCTAAATAAAATACAAAAGAGGGCTGGGGATGTGGCTCAGTGGTCGAGTGTCCCTGAGTACAATGTCCAGTACCAAAGAAAAAAGAAATAATAAGTAATAACCTCCTTCATTAAAGTTTTAAGTTACTCAGTGCCTTAGAAATACATACCTCATAGTTGTTCAAACCTCTGCTAATTTTTAACACTAGAGTCCAGAACAGAGCCTGGCAGACAACTACACAATAACATGGAAATTCTTGCAGTATGTATTCACATCTGAAATGACATCACTGTAGATCCCTGGCATTTCCCCAGAGGTTGAACTTTTTTTTTCTTTTTGTGCTGGGGTTGGAACCCAGGGGTACTCCACCACTGAGCTACATCCCCATCCCTTTTTATTTTGAGACAGGGTCTGCTAGGTTGCCAAGGTTGGCCTCCAACTTGAAATCTTCCTGCCTGGGATTAATTCTTAACAGGAATCATTTGAAGGCAGCTTGAATAACCAATGATTACAAACAGCTTTATGTTTAACCAAAGGTGAATCAAACCTCCAAATTCTATCTTTAAAACCTGTTTTGGTAAGAGTTTTCATTGTTTTTGATATTTGTGCCCGAGATATAGCAGACAGGCAATAGATTTTAATATCCCTCAAGTTATCTTCTTGGAAAAATAAACTAAATCTATGCTAGAATACTCTGTCTAATCATTTCTTTTTTGTTACTGACCTTTGCACCCCCAAAATGAACTATCACATTAAAATCATAATATCAGGGTATAGCCTAAGGAACCAAAATAATTTTCTTTTCTTTTTCTATACATTTATATACTGACCTTTTCTTCATTATACTGTGCATATTCTTTGGTATATCGTTTTAACAGCTCTGCCTTCAGCTCTTCTGCTTTGGGAAATGCAATCTCCTTTAATTTCTGAGATATAAAACAGAAACTAAGAATTAGAACAATTCTAATGCCAGCCAATAAGTAGAGAAAAAGATTTAGGTCAAACTTATGTGGCAACAATGTTCAAAAAAGTGATTTAAATACCTGCTAATATATCATACCTTCTACCTCATAACTGTTGTGATGAGATGGCCTTAGCACCTATCAGCCGGGTTTGATGCTAAGATGCAGAGACTACTACTTTTGTCTTAAAGTTAGTCTGTGCTGCTTTGAAGTTTTTTGATGGGCAACTATGAAAATGAAGACCCACCTTTACTGTATCTTTCTTTTCAGGAATGACAGCCGATTTATAATCTCGATGCTTAGGTAGTTTCTCAATAAAGAGCCTAAGGAAACAGATCAGAATTATCATGATTCAAGAATAATTTCCAAATATCCATAAGTCCCCAAAGTAATGCATCTCCTCTAACTTGCAGACACTGAATGAGAAGTTTCCAAAGGCACAGGGCATAGAGAACAGGCATACGTACCCAGAAAAGGTAAGTGCCCTACCCATCTCCATGCTTGGAAAGCACAAAAAGCCTTTCCCTCTTCTTTCAAACCAGGCATGGGCAGCAAGCATCAGATTCTGTTACAATTTAGGTATTAGGTGTCCCCCAAAAGCTCATGTGTGAGTCAATATAAGAAGGTTCAGTGGTGAAATGATTATGAGTGTTGTAACCTAATCAGTGAATTAATTCACTTATATGAAGTAAGTGGATGATAACTACAGGAGGTAGGGTGTGCTGGAGGAAATAGGTTACTTGAAGCATGTCTTGGGGTTTATATTTTGTCCTGGTGAGTGGAGATCTCTACTTTCTTGATGCCATGTCCTGAATTGCTTCCTCTATCACACCCTTCTGCCATGATGTTCTGCCTCAACTTGGGTGCAAAGCTATGGAATTGGCTGACCATGGACTGACCCTCTGAAACTGTGAGCCAAAATAAACTTTTCACCTCTAAATTCTTGTTAAGTCTTTTGGTCACAGTGATGAAAAAGATAACTAAATCAGACTCCTATAACACAAAGGATGGCAAAAAAACCGAAACCAAAACCAAAATTTTTGGTTTTCAAATCAAACCAAACAAAGCCTATCCTGTACCCAAAAAAGTACCTCCAAAGAAAGAGATCCTTTTCATGTTGTGACATGTCAAGACTTTCAAAGCAAAGGACCTTTGTCACAAAACATTCTTCAGAGGACAAAAGTTTGGCAGTCATGAGCAGAAAGTTAAGAGAAAACCATGTTCATTACTATTCTTTTTTGGTCATCTTTTTAAATTGATTTTTAAAAATAAATGACAGCGGAATGCATTACAATTCTTATTACACATATGCAGCACAATTTTTCATATCTCTGGTTATATATAAAGTATATTCACACCAATTTGGGTCTTCATATATGTACTTTGGATAATGATGTCCATCACATTCCACCATCCTTTTTAACCCACTGCCCCCTCCCTTCCCCTCCAACACCTCTGCCCTATCTGGAGTTCGTCTATTCCTCCCATGCTCCCCTTCTCTATCCCACTATGAATCAGCCTCCTTATATCAGAGAAAACATTCAGCATTTGAGTTTTTGGGATTGGCTAACTTCACTTAGCATTATCTTCTCCAATGCCATCCATTTACCTGCAAATGCCATGATTTTATTCTCTTTTATTGCTGAGTAATATTCCATTGTGTATATATGCCACATTTTTTTTTATCCATTCATTTACTGAAGGGCATCTAGGTTGGTTCCACAGTTAAGTTATTGTGAATTGTGCTGCTATAAACATTGATGTGGCTGTGTCCCTGTAGTATGCTGTTTTAAGTCCTTTGAGTATAGACAGAAGAGAGGGATAGCTGGGTCAAATGGTGGTTCCATTCCCAGTTTTCCAAGGAATCTTCATACTGCTTTTCATATTGGCTGCACCAATTTGCAGTCCCACCAGCAATGTATGAGTGTACCTTTTCCCCCACATCCTTGCCAATACTTACTGTTGTTTGTCTTCATTCATAATAGCTGCCATTCTGACTGGAGTGAGTTGTGACATTTAACTCTGACATTTTTTCTTTGGAATTCATATTCCTTCAAAGAATATTCTTTTACATCATACTAAGCATGAAAATGCTTAGATAATATATGTGTTATGCATATACTATACATATAGCATGCATTGTGATCTTTGATTAAGTGGTTAGATAAACATCAGTTCTACATGTTCTCTTTTAGTTATTTTGTTGGCTAGAAAGCTCAGTGGGGAACATAAATTGAATCAATTCACAGAGATTCATGGTATCTCTTTTGGGACAGTGAAAACAATTAGAAGTCCAGCAACTTGTCACAGCAAGAAAGTGGCAGACTCAGAATTTGAACTATTCCATATTGCCTCCATAAGGCTCTTGGACTATCTGGAACAAACATGTCATAATAGAATAAGGATGTGATATGTATAAACTGAGATCCCAAACAAATAATTCAAGGGTGGCTTGTCCATGGCTCTAAATACTATACTGCAGTTGAGATAAACTTTTTCAACCTTCTGCCCATGGAATAGGAGTACATGGAGGAAGAAGCCTCAGTAAGAAGACCACATCTAAACAAACCCTTTGTAGATAAGTCTTCCTCCTTCAGTTCTCTTCAGTTCTATATCAGACACATGAAAATTTCATTTTAATACAACTTGACCAGACTCCTCACACAAGGATGAATTCTAAAATCATAATGGCTCTAAAAATCTTATACACACACACACACACGGCAGGTTTCTGGAAGATTCATTTGTTCAAACTGCAAGATGCTAAAGATTTGGTAAATAACACTAGTTCTTATATTCTAGAGATTTATAATTCAGTAGATCTCCCACCTTGACCCCAAAGACCAAGGTACATATTTACTACCTTCAGACAGCTGAATCTGCTTGGGAATCTGCTTGAGATTGAGGCCATGAATAGCCATGAAAGCACCATGTCATAGAAATAACATACTTTGTGCTACCATTACAGAACTAGATGTAAACTTCTTGAGGCCAGAGATTTCTGTCTTTCATATTTTTTTTTTTTTTTGTAAAAATCTTCTAAAACCAGCCCAGTGCCTTGGGTAAAGGGATACTCAATAAAGATGAATGAAAGTGTTTTATAACCTCTGGATTAATTGAGTGAAAACATTTAGAAGTATACATAGTATGCTACTTTATGTGTAAGAGTGGTAGATATTTTATGTATGTAGGTATTTATTTTGTAAGTTTGTAAAGAAACAGAAAATATGTTTGGAAGGCAGGGGAAACAGAGTAGATGAGATCAGAGTGGGTATGAAACTTTTCACATATCCCTTTTTATATCAGTTTGACTTTAACCATGTAAATGGAAGCAAGTTTTATAAGATAAAACTTCCAGGCTTGCATGTGAATATCTTTCCCTTGTTTCAGTCACTGTAGTCAATTTTCTGGATGGGGACATATGGGCAAAAATGCCTATAGAATGGACAACATATCCCATTACAATTACTTGACGTAACAGAGCTTAACAGACAGGTGGACAGGCTCTGGAGCCACTCTGCCTGGGTTCAGATCCTTGCCTCATCATGTACTAGATGTATGAACTTAGGTAAGTCACTTACTCTCATCATCTCTCAGTTTATTTATACATATAAATTATAGACATGGAGATAAACTAGAAATCCCTAATAGTGTTGCTATGACATAAAGAGATAATAAAAATAAGGGGTTGGGGGTGTAGGTCATGGAGTACAGCATTTGCCTAGCATGTGAAAGGCCCTGGGTACAATTCCCAGTACAAAACAAAACCTATATATACAACACATAACAATCAACAACCACAACAAAGAGAAAATAAAAGTGCTGCCAAGCATAGTGCCTAGCATGAAGCATAAAAACTCACTGGATATGTGCTTATATGATTATTTTTTAGGGAAAAAAACAAAAATATGAACAAGAATGAGCATGAAGATGTGCACACCAGAGTTAGAAACTTTCCAGGCATAAAGTGGTGGCCCAGATGTATACTGTTCTCTGGGGTTATGTCTGGTTGCAGCCTAGAGAGAGGAAATGTACTAAAGCAAACAATGATACACTAGCAAAAAACACAGGCAGAACAAACTAAAAGAATCATGGAAAAATAAGAGACAAATGTAAAAGTAAATATAGAAGGTGAATAAATATGTGAAATGGTGCCCAGCTTCACTCATAATGAAAGAAATTAAATTAAGATATCATTTTTATTCTTCAGATCGGCAAAGCCTTAACAGTTGGTTATACCTGGTATAGGTAGGTGTGTAGGGAAATGGGTGTTCTAATACCTTGTTAGCAGGATTGTAAATTGATATATTTTTTTTCCTTAGGGGAGGAAAAAGATGGGAGACAATTATTCAAAATTTAAAATGTGAGTAAACAATTCCACCCCCAGGAACTTATTCTAGAGATCATGATACAGTAGTACAAAGATATACATATAAAACTATTCAATTGAATTGTTCAGAAAAGTAGGGAAAACAAAATTGAAAGAAAATGTCCATCAATAGGGGCAGTTTAAAAACTAAAGTATACCCAAATATGAAAACAATGTAATAATTTACTCATCCATTAAAAAATATTTACAGAGCATCAACTATAGGGTCAAACATTATTCTAAAAGCAGTGAATGACCCAGAAAGAAATTTCTTTCCACCAGGCACAGTGGCATATGCCTATAATTCCAGCAACTAGGGAGGCTGAGGCAGGAGGATTGCAAGTTTGAGGCCAGTCTCAGCAACTTAGTGAGGCCCTAAGCAATTTAGTGAGACCCAGTCTCAAAATAAGAAAGCAAAAAGGACTGAGGATGTAGCTCAGTGGTAAAGTGCGCCTGGGTTAAATATCCAGTACCAAAAAAAATTTTTTTCCAGAATAGTATGTACATTATGGTAGGGGAACGGTCAATATAATAAACAAAGTAGTTTAGAGAATCAGCATTAGAAAGGTCATTATTAATAGGAAAGAGGAAGGGCTGGGTATGTAGCTTAGTGATAGAGTGCTTGACTAGCATGCAGTGTAGAGCTCTGGTTGGATTCCCCCAGTACTAAAAAAAAGGAAAGAGGAACAGAGAGTAATAAGGGAGAGGTGAAATTTTATTTATTTATTTGTTTGTTTGTTTGTTTATTTATTTATTATATTTTTATTTTGTTTATTTATTTTTATGTGGTGCTGAGGATTGAACCCAGGGTCTCACACGTGAGAGGTGAGCGCTCTACTGCTGAGTCCCAGCCCCCAGCTCGAGAGGTGAAATTTTAGATAGAGCAGGTAAGGAAGGCCTCAATAAGAAGGTGGCATTTGAGTAAGGACTGGAAGAGGATAAGCCATGAAGAGA